TATAGTTGAAGCCAATTATTTATCCATGAAAATTGAAGTGCACTTTTCCAATGCATAATTAAGAATAACATTTAAACATTTATTTGTAACAAACTTTTTTTTGCATATATTGTTTTAATGTGTATTCACAAATTCCTAAGATTGCAATTAATATATAAAAATTAAAGTTAATTAAACTACAGTACAATAAATGTTAAGACAATATATCAAATACTGTGAAAGTAAATTATCTTACCATTAGTACAGTAATTAATGCAGCAGATTTGAGCGGGAAAATTCCAGCTGCTCTGCTTTAATATATATATAGATAGATTGTCCCCCATACTCTTAATTTGCTAAATAATATCAATAATACGAATGGGTAAACTTTTTATCATAATTACAAAATATTTAATTAATTAAGATAATGATTAATTTTCAATAGCTTATAAACTACCCACGACACATATTAATGATTGAATGAATATCGTGGAGAGATATTCTTCTTCCTTCCACACACAATAGCCAAAGTAGTTATCTTCCCTAACACAAAAAGCTACTCTCTGTTTGAAAACTTCCATGGTCGAGTGAAGATAATTCGAAGCCAAATCCGTCAACAGTGAAGACGGCCGACGGCCGGCCAGCCGGAGAAGCCAAGTAAATTCCAATTCGCTTTCTCTATCTCTCTATCTTTGTTTTGAAAATTTATTGAGATTTGTATTTCCGATTTTAAATTTTTGAGTTATTTTTTGTCTTTGGTTTTCGAGATTGATTTTTATTTGAATTTGGTTTTCGAGATTGAATTTGGTTTCAAATGGGGGAAGTTTATGTTGATAATTGTTTTTGGCCTGACACCCTTTTGTTTTTTTGTTTTTTTTTTTCGAAACGATAGATTTAATATAAACTAAAAACGCATAATTACAACTAGAATACAACTAGAAAGGCCAAGCATCTATCTAGCTGAATCTAGCGGGAGGACCCCGGATTCGGAGCCTAGAAGGGCTACACTAAAACACCCACAAGACAACACTAAACTAACCAAACCCTAAACGGGACAAAAGCTCCTACAAAAGGAGAATCAGCTCATACAAGAGGAGAATCGACTCCTACAAGAGGAGAACACCGCAGGATAACTAACAAGAAAAACATCTAAACACCCAACACCAACACAAAAAAAGAAAAAAGAAAACAAAACAACAACAAACAAAACACACTAAATAGAATAATGCCCACCAACAACATAACAACAAACAAAACAAACTAAATAGAATAATGCCCTCCTTCCAATCGGCTAAAGAAACCGCACACGCATAGGCCGACCCCCAGAGATAGACGCCCATACGAATAAGACTCCGAT